AGTGAAAAAGGCAAAGGAGAGAGCCAAAAGCTTTCTAGGAAAATTTGAGAAGGGAGAAGTCACTGCTAGCTGGGATGAGGATTCAAATAAGGGAAAGCTTCATGGAAGAGGTAGCATCTAAGCTGGGTCTTGGAGATAGAGAAGGATTTTAACAGATAGGAATGAGGAGGGAATGTGTTCCAGTAATGGAGGATGACCTGAGTGAATGAATAGAGGCAAGAAATGGCAGTTCATATGGAAGACTAGTCAGTAGCCCAGTCTGTCTAGAATGTAGAGTGACTGAAGGGGAGAATCCTATTAAATAATGCTACACAGATCAGTTGAAGACAGCTTAGGGAAGGCTTAGAAGGTCAGGAGGAGGAGTCTGGACAATGGAGAGCCATAAATGGTTGTTGAGCAGGGAAATAGCATGGTCTTGTTTAGGATTATTTTGGTAGTAGTGTGGAGAATGGATTGGAGGAGGAAGACATTGGAGCCGGGGAGGCTGTCATCAATAGTCCCAACTGAGGGGGGCAATAAGGGCTTGACCCAAGGGGATGACCATGTGAGTTAAGAGGAGGGGATGCATATGAAAGATACTGTGAAAAAACCCTCCACAGAACAGCCTTATCTAATTCTAAAGCACTGAAGAGAATATCCAAGAGCCCCAGCCACTGTTACACCCTTACACCAGGGGAGGGAAACCTCCTGTGCCACTGTGCAAATATTTTATTTCCTTTTGCATAAAGCTTATCTGAGAATCATAGAATCTAAGAGTAGGAAAGAACTAGAGACTTTCTAGTTCAACCTCCAGCTAATGCAGCACCGCCCCCCCTCCATCCCCCCTAATATCATTGACAAGGAATAGTCATCAGCCTCAGTGCAAACACCTCTGGTGACAGAGCGTTTACTCACTATTTCCTGATCCCATTCTGGTTTTGGACAGTTCTCATTTTTAGAGCTCCTCCCTGTAATTTCCACTTAGAATTCCAAGTTCTTATCTCTAGAGCAGGAATCCTTAACCTGGGGCCTCTGTGTATATACACACACCCACACAAGATACTCATACACATATATGTGTGTGTATATATATGTATATATATGTGTGTGGGTGTATATATATATATAAATATTGTATATAATGTATACATACTGTGTTTCAATATAATTGTCTTCCTTTGTAATCTGTATTTTGAATGTATTTAGATCCACTCTGGGAAGGGGATCATAGGTTTCAGAAAGCTATCAAAGAGGTACATGACCCAAAATAGGTGAAGAATGCCTTCTCAATCATTTTGTCTGTCTCACAACCAAGGATTCTTTGCTATGAGAGATATGATCGTTTAAAGTTGGGTTTGCTATTGGAGAGAGAGTCAGGAGATTTGCACATGCATGATTTGCCTACAATAAAAACAGTGATTTTTGTTGAGTTCTATGGGAGTTCCAAGTCTAATCTGTTTTGAGGTTAGTGCATGCATTACCAGCCTCTCACAAACATTGTCTGTATGACTCTGGTCAGGTCAATCATCCACTCATCTAGCTAGGCAACTTTCTAAGACTCATATTGAAAGAGAAGGTACTGACTTGAATTTGCAGAGGGAGTTTTCCTCACCTGGGAGTTCCTTACACTGTGAAATCGCAAGTGCAGTCCCCATTCCTACCCTGACCACTAGGACATGTGTAACAATTAAGTTTTGTTTTCATTTTCTTTTGCTGAATAAGTAAAATTTATATTAAACACAATTATTTATCAATTTTATTTCATCTGCCAATAACATAATATCCAAAATTTCATGACAGCTAATGAAGGTGGTAGCATACCCACTGAGACCTACTGCTCTAGGGCTACATGGGCCCTGGAGAATCACCTTTCTACAGCACAGACTTTCAATAAGTAAAGATAGTAAGCATACCTCCCCTCACTTATTGCTCATCCAGGTTAAACATATCTAGATAATAACAATAATAATATTTATATAGTGCTTTAAGGTTAGCAACGCACTTTATATATGTTGTCTCATTTGATTTCATTATTCTCTCAACAACCCAATGAGGTAAGTGCTAGTATCATCCCTATTTTACAGTTGAAGGAACTGAGGCATATGTCATAGTTTTACGTCCGCAGACTATTCTGGTTGTTTTCCTTTGAATGGGTCATGAAGTCATGGAATTTATAGCTGAAAGGGTTTAGAGACTATCTAGTCCAACTGCCCACCTTTTTTCCCACAACAAAATTGAGGCCTAAAGAGGCTTACATAGCTTACCCCAAGGTCTCAGAGCTAATGAGAGGCAGATAAGAGATTGGGATCCTGACCTGGTATAGTAAAGCTGTATTGGGGACTAGAGAAGAATCCAAGAAGGGATAGGGACCACTGCTTGGAATGGATGAAATGATGATTAAAAAAATAACTGAGGGAAGACAGAAACACTTAATACTTCTTTTGTTCTCATTTTTACTTCTTAAGAGATTGATTTTTGTTTTTTTTTTTTGGTTTGTTTTTTGTTTTGCTTGAGAAGAATAGACTGAAAATGATTAGCAAGTAGTCAAAACCCAAGATACCTGAGGAGATGGGCAGATAGCACTTATCTGTCCTCAATTAGTTCAAATCATTAGGCCTAGCTGAATTACATCTCAGGACACCAAAAGTAATGACAGAGGTGAACACTGAGCCATTGTCTGAAAGATTTTGGAGAACAGGAGAACACCGAAGGAGCAGAGAAGAGCAAATTTTGTTCCAACTTGCAAAAAAAAGGAAAAGAGGTAGAACCTGGAAACTCAAGGCCCTTGAGCTTGATTTAAATTTCTGGCAAAGGTTTAGAATATGTTTTAAGAGGATGAACACCAAGAAAGGGAAGCAGTGGTGATTAAAAGGTATCATGACTTCATCAAGAACAGATCATGTCAGACTAATCCAGTTTCCACTTTCTGAAAGGATAAGAAATGACTTGTACTGGATTGAGAGTGAATCTCAGAATCAGAAAAAGACCTGGATTTAAGTCCTGTGTCTGACATGTAGTGGATTTGAGACCCTGGGTGAGTCACTTAAATTTCTGTTTGTTCTTTGGGCAACTTTCTAAGACAGGGTTTCTTAACCTAGGGGAGGGAAGTATCTATGAATTTTATATATATATATGTAGAGAGAGAGAGAGAGAGAGAGAGAGACTTGCATTTCAATATAATTGGTTTCCTTTATAATTCTCTTTATTTTATTTCATCTATTTAAAAAATCCTGAGAAGGGTTCCATAGGCTTTACTAGATTGCCACAGGGGTTCATGATACATACAAAGGTTAAGAACCCCTACTCTAAGTATAGAAGTTGCAGAGAACATGCTCATCTTCATTAGCAGAGGGAGTTCCAACAAGATGAGGGGAATGTTGGAGACATAGATTTAGACTTCAGCTAAGCATTTGAAGAAATCTTTATTTGTAGACAAGACCAAAAGATATGGCCTAGAAGATAGTACAGGTGGGTAGATTCAGAATTGTTTGTGAGACTAGATCTAAGGAATAGTCAGTAGTGGGCTGATGCTCAACCATAGAGAAAGCTATATTGGAATATCCCAACGATCTATCCTTAGCCCTGTTCTAACTAACACTTTTATTGATGTCTCAGACAAATGCACAGATGATGTATTTGTCAAATTTGTAGATGAGGTGAAATTTGGAGGGATAGCTAATGTATCAAATATATATTTGAACTGTGAAGTTTGGATTCAGTCAAAGGGCCGTACTCAAGGACTTAGAGGGCCACATGTGACCTCAAGGCTGCAGGTTCTCCACCCCTGGCATAGGTGGACCCAAAAACCTTTAACCTTAACAGGTTAAAACAATGAGCTAGTCTAATAAAAATAAAACTTAATAGGAAGAAATGAGAAGTTCTACATTTGTGTACCCAAAAAAATCAACTTTACAAATACAGTGTGGGAATTCATGGCTAGACAAGAATCTATGTGAGTGATGTGGCACAGTCAACAGTATTACATGGCAGCCAATAAAAGCTAATACTAATAGAATGTTCTTGGAAAAGCATAGTATTTAGAGAATGAGCTTCATTGTGCACACTCTGCTGTGTCCATGTCCAGGACTCATCTATAGGACAGCATCTAGTTCTGGGCACTATAATTGTGGGAAGATGAAGACAAGCTAGATTGTGTCCAGGAGTGGGTGACTAAGTAGTTAGTATGGTGAACAAACAAGAGAATGTGCCTTGTAAAGGTAGGTGGCAGGAAATAAAGGAGGGAACTCCTCAGCTGGTCTTTGAAGGAAGCTATTGTGTTACCTAGGGAAAAGAAAACTCAGGGAGGGATGGTATGGCGCTCTTCAAATGTTTGAAGGGTTGATGTGTGGAAGGAGGACGAGATTTGTTTGGTTTGGTGCTACAGGGCCAAACTAGTGTTGGGTAGAAGCTGGTAGAGGTGTAACTAATTCTAACTATGAGAGCTGTCCAAAAGCAGAATGAACTAAAGTTAATGGGCTTCCCATTGCTGGAGGTATTCAAGTACAGTCAGGAGAACTACTTTTTGGGGATATTTTAGAAAGAATTCAGGCACTGGAAGGCCTAGAGTACCTAGATGCACCTACAGGAGTAGGAGTTGGATTTGGAGTGATAGGCCTGGATCTACCTAGTCTACCAACTACTTAAGACTCTCGTGACCTTGGGTGAATCATTTAATTGTTCTGGGCCTCAGTCCCCTGATCTATAAAATGAATGAGTGACCTCAAGATGACCTACAAGTTCGCTTACATATTTAAACCTATGCTCCTATTATCCCTTCCAGAGACTAGATCTATGAATCTAATTCTCTTGACCCTACACCATCTTAAGACATGGCACCAAAGAAACCAGCTCTACTGCAGGTGTGATCTGACTAGTGCAGAGGACAATTAGACTATTATTCCTTTTGAAGGACTTTCTGGTGGCTTTCATGGGCCCTTGAGGGATGCGAAAGGTTAGAACATTAACAGCATCTCTTTTCTGCCCTCACTACAGCCCGCCCTGAAGATGTTGGCACCAGCCTCTACTTTGTGAATGACTCCTTGCAGCAGGTGACCTTCTCCAGTTCTGTGGGGGTCGTGGTGCCCTGCCCGGCCACGGGCTCCCCCAGCGCCATCCTCCGATGGTATCTTGCCACAGGCGATGACATCTATGATGTGCCACACATCCGGCATGTCCATGCCAATGGGACGCTGCAGCTCTACCCCTTTTCGCCCTCTGCCTTCAATAGCTTTATCCACGACAATGATTACTTCTGTACCGCAGAAAATGCTGCAGGGAAAATCCGGAGTCCCAACATCCGGGTTAAAGCAGGTAAGGGAAGAACAAGGTTAGGGGTGGGGAAGGTGGAGAGAGGAAACAGGTGAATGTAAGGACATCATGATAGAATCTAGAGGTGGAAGGAACCTGGGTGTTCATTTAATCCAACCACTTCTTTTTGTAAATTAAAAAGTCGGGGCCCAAGGCAGTCAAATGAGTGGTCTAAGATCACACATCTAGTAGGTACCAGAATCAGAATTTGCACCCAAGCCTAGAATCTAAATCTAATACTCTTTCCATAATACCATCAATGAGCACATTCCTGCTTCCTCTCTGCTAGACCAGACTAAATTCTGAAAATTAGGATGAGGAACAATACTAGATGTTTTTTTAAAAATAAATTTTATTTAAAAATAAAGTTAATTTTTATATTACCCAAATTTTCCTCTATATCCTTTCTCCTGCCTCTCCCAAAGAGCCATCCCATATTACAAAGAATATTTGTTAAAAGAAAAAGCAGAGAAGACAAAATCATAAGCAAAACCAATCAACCTACGGGGGAGGGGGGGGAATCGGAAAAAAACATGCAACATTCCACCACCTCTGCAAAGGAGTAGGAGGAGGTATCCTCTCATGTCCAGTTTTTGGAGCCATCTTAATTCCCTGTGATTTTGTAGCATTTTCTTTTGACAGTAGTAGACTTGTGAAGTCATGTGTGCTAAGTATTTAGAAATATTCCAAGAATAATCACAAATGTAGGGGTTCTTGACATTTGATTGGGGGTGACTTTTAAATATGCTCTGGGAAGAGAGATAAGACACAAGATAGAACTTCCAGATGGGGCAGTTTGTTTAGACATTGGGGCAGATGCTTGAAGTGGAATGGGGACTCTTCGCATCTGGAGGTTTCTTTGACAGAAGAGATTCTCATCTCTCTGGACTGGACTAGCAAATCCTACTATAAAGATTTTGTCACTTGGTTCATGTTCAAGAGTCTGTTGTCACACACCAGAGTCTGCTACACCACTTTTGTTGAGGGCTATGGAGTGGGGAAGGGAACAGTTTGGCCAGATAGCAATGATGTTTGTTGGGTAACTAAGGAATGGCATGCCCCATGCTCTCTGTCAGAAGGCAGGCTCCTACTGCAGTGGTTGGTAGAAAGAGAGAAATTGGATCAAGGCTGTATCTACAACAGGATGAGAATTTGGGTCAAGGGAATACAGCCAAAGACCTGCAAACCCCTGTTACTAATGATAGACTTGAAATGGTCCTTTTAAAGGAAGATGGCTTGTAGCATTAATAATAATAAAGCCTCCCTAGGTAATTTGCCACAACCCACAAAGATAACCATTTCTTTTACTAAGTCCCTCTCTACACAGAGCCCCTGTCCAGTAGAACAAGGTCCATGTGAGAGAGATAGTAGATTTTTCTGGTTAAAGTGATATATTTTTGGTCCCTAGGAAAACAGGGCTTAGGAGTCCATTTACCCACTCCATTGGTTTGAGGCCAGGGCACCTGCTTGTGGCACTTATTCTGGATGGTGGGAAGGGAGTCTAGGAATACTCTTTCCAACAGATATTTTGTGCTCTTTGTTTGAAACCGATCCCTGGCCTGGGAAACCAGACCTTAGGGTTGAGTACTAGGTCTGGCCCTTCATAGTTTGTGTGATCAAGTATATCTCTTTGGGGATCTCTCCTCTCTCCCCATCTCTCTGGTAGGAGAGCCCCATTCTGTCCAGAACTAGGAAAGAGAATGACAATGACAATGTCTCAGGAAACAGTCACAGATCTATGCATCAAAACATACTGTGGTACCCTAGAAGGGAGGCTCCTTCATCCCTCTCCCTCTGTCCTTCATAGCATTCATACTGCAAAGAAGGGAAGGTTTGTGAAAGGAGGAGGAGGGAGCAAGGCTGAAAAATATTCAAAGCCAATTATGTGACTCTTGATGAGGACAGAAGGGCTGCAGGTGCACAGTGAGGGGACCCTAAATGTTGCCTTGGCAACCATGAAAGAGGGTGTCAGAAGGGAATTGGCCCAGGTACCTCCCAATGGGCAAAGGAGGGAGACAGAGGACTTAGAAACCTTTAGCTCAACCTAAGAGAGTAAAAACTAGGGTGTTGTTCCAAGGAATGGATCTGGGAGGGATGGACTATTTGTATAAAATTGAGGGCTGGGGACAGGAATGCCACCTGCCTAGGCCACCAGGAGGAGCTCTGCCATCTATGGAAAGGGCCAAAGGGAGGGCTCAGGTATATGACAGTTCTGTGGTATCATAGCAATTGATATTTACATATAAAGTTTGCAAAATATTTTCCTTGTGACAACCCAGTGGGATTAGGTAGCACAAATATCAATAGCACCATTTTAGAGATGAGGAAACTGAGGTTTGGGGAGATGAAGAACTTGCCTATGGTCAGCTTCTGCGTTTCAGAGTCAGGATTTGAACTTGTCTTCCTAACTTCGGGTCCAGCCCTTTTTTTCATTGCATCACAAAATGTATCAGCTCTACCAGATTAGGGCCAGCACCCAGAACTGTAATGGCTTGAGGAGTTGAGGTGGGGAGTGGGCGTTAGAGGAGTGGCCTCAGTCGGAAGACTGTAGGGTGGTGAGGGAAGCAGAGGAGATTTTCTCGGTGGTTGGATGATAGGATATGGCTCTGAAGGATTGGCCCCAGAGGGTGAAGGACTGTGGCAGAGCTTAGGAGGAAGGGGCTTTTCTAAGGGAGAATTTTGGAGGACATCTCCTAAATGTAATGGAAACCTGGAAGAGTATAGAGAATTAAGTGTCCTCTGCATCCATCTAGCTTTCTTGTTATTAGCACTTAGAGATGCCTGTTGTGTTTGGTGCTGAATGCAATTAAATTAAAGAATGCACTCCTACCCTTGAGGAACATGTAGTCTAGGACACAAGCAGATGGAGAAAAAACTACTTTCTTCCTCAGATGCAAAATCACAACACCTTGAATTTCTGCAGAGCTCTAAGTTTTACAAAGGGCTTTACTTACAACAACCCTAGGAAGTAGAGAGTATGAGTATTATTACGTTTTATATGAATACATTTTTAAAGATAGGGATAGGGACTGGACCTATCATTTTCCTGATGTAAGGATCTCCTGAATAAGGAAACTCCATCTACCGATGCAAATTGGCACCTTCTTTTCAATTTATAGTCTTAGAAAGTTGCCCAGAATGCTGAGAAAGTAGGTGACTTGGCCAGAATCACATAGCCAGGAAGTGTCAGAGATGGGACTGGAACCCATGTCTTCCTGGCTTTGAGATCAGCTCTGTAATCCCCTATACCATGCTGCCTCTCAAGTAGTTTTACATTTTACAAGTGGAGAAACTGAGGCTTAGAGGGGGCCCCAGATTCTTAGCATTAGAAGGGTTCTCAGAGGTTATCTTGTGCATCCTCCAGTGAAACAACTTGTTCATGGTCACCAGAGTCCCTTGACTCCAAGCCCATTCCCAGTTTCAGGAGATCTCACTGCCTTTTTGTTCCTCCCACACCTCATTTTGGAGAAAATCACCAAGTTTCCAGGTATTGCTGATCTTTGATATGTTGAGGTAGCAGGGTCTTTTCATTGATCAATTCCCCAATTGATTCCTTATTTTATTCTCCACAGAAACTATTCCAGACTTTCTTTTTCTCCTCAAGGTTCCCATGTCTCTTCTTCTTCCTTCTCTCTCAACTGAGGACTTTTCTTCAAAAAAAATACTGGGGAAAAAGGCTATTCAACATGATCTTTCTCCCTCCCATTCTCTTCATCTCAAATCCCCTTGGCATCATCCCCTACTCTCTCTTGCTGTCCTCCCAGCCTCTGACAGAGAGATGACCCTTCTCCTTGCTAAGGTCAACCTCCTTACAGGTGCATGTGATCCCATCCCCTCTCATCTTCTCCAGCGGATGGCATCCTCCATCATCCTCCCTCACTCTTAAACTCTGACTACCCTATCAAGTTCCTTTCCTATTGCCTTCAAGAACTCACCCAAGTCTCCCCCATCTTTTTAAAACAAACCCTCATTAGATCCTATCATCCACTCAAACTATCATTCTCTATCTCTCCCTCCTTTTCTCAGCCACACTTGAAAAAGCCATCTATACTGGATGACTCCACTTCCTCTTGTGTCACCACTCCTCAACCATTTACAGTCTGAATTCAACTGAAATTGCCCCCTCCAAAGTTACCAGCAATCTCCTATTTGCCAGAGTTGATGGTGGTTTCTCAGTCTTCATCCTTGACCTCTCTGATGCATTTAACACTGTTGGCCCTCTCCACCTTTCAAATGCTCTCTTCTCTCTCGATTTTTGTGACATTATTCTTTCCTAGTTTGCCTTCTACCAGCTTGATCACTCTTCAGTTTCCTTTGCTGGTTCACTATCCACATCATGCCTCCTAACTGTGGGTGTTCCCCAAGATTCTGTCCTGGGACAATTCTATTCTCTCTCTCTCTCTCAATAAGAAATAAATTCAAAAGGAAATTTAGATGGCACATTTATATCCATCAAGACCTTAGAATAAAAGTTCCTACAAGAAGGAACTATATTTGTATCTATTCTGAAAAGAGCAGAGTACAGAATGTATATAAATATGAAAATAGCATTAACTGTAGTCTCTCTCTCTCCTTCCCTCTACCCCCTCACCTCATCAAATTGCATGGGTTTTTAAACTATCATCCTTAAGTTCAGTTGTTTAGTCATTTTCAGTCATGTCTGACTCTTCATGACCACATTTTGGGTTTTCCTGGGAAAGATACTGGAGTGGTTTGTCTTGTCCTTCTCCAGCTCATTTTTACAGATGAGAAAACTGGGGCAAACAGGCTGAAGTGACTTTCCCAGGTCACACAGCTAGTAAATGTCTGAGGCCAGATTTGAACTCAGGAAGAGAAGTCTTCGTGACTTCAGGCCCAGCATGCTATCCATTGGGCCACCTAGCCTCCCATCATCTTTAAGTATGTGACTCCAAAATCTATAATAATTAGGCCAGTCTCTCTCCTGAGTTTCTCCTCAGTCTTACATCCCCATTTGCCTGTTGGATACTTCCAAATGGATGTCCTGGAACCATCTTAATCCCAGCATGTCTAAAACTGAACTTGTTATCTTTCCCCCTAAACCACTGCTGGGGAACCTGCAGCCTCAAGGCCACATGTGGCCTTCTAGGACCTTGGGTACAGACTTTTTGACTGAGTCCAAGTTTTACAGAATAAATTCTTTTATTAAGGGGATTTGTTCTGTGAAGTTTGGCTTCAGTCAAAGGGTCTCACTTGAGGACCTAGAGGTCCACATGTGGCCTCCAGGCCAAAGGTTCCCCATCCCTGCCCTAAATTCTCCCCTCCTCCAACCACCTCAGTTTCTATTAAAGCACCACCCCCACCATTCTAGCATCTCCAGTCCATAATCTCAGCATTATCATTGACTCCTTACCCTCTCTCAACCCACATATCTAATTAGGTGCCAAATATTGCCCTTTCTCCTAACAATATCTCTCACATCTTACCCTTTCTCCCTACTCATACAACTACAACCTTAGTTAAGGTCCTCACTTTAAAACTCTTAATTAATTAATTAAGGCCTCTTAATTTGTATTTCTGCCTTGAATCTCTCCCCATTCTAATCCACCCTATACCTTGCTGCCAAAGTAAGTTTCCTTGACCACGTGACTCCTCTACTCCGCCAACTCTGGTGGCTTCCTGTTGCCTCTAGGATTCAATATAAACTCCTCTGTTTAGCTCTGAAATGCCTGTGCATCCTGGCCCCAACTTAACTTTCCAGACCCAATGGACAGCACTCCCAATTCCACATTCTGTAGTCTAGCCATGGACTTCTTTCTGTTCCTTACATAGAACACTTAGTCTCCCATCTCCCTGCTCATCACCACTATAAGGAAAGCATTTCTTTCTAATCTTTACCTCATAAAGTCCTCTCTTGCTTTAAGATGTAGTTTACGCACCATCTTTTGCCTTAATAGACAGCTAGGTGACAGAGTGGACAGAGCACTGGGCCTGGAGTCAGAAAGACCTGAGTTCAAATCTGACTTCAGTTGTGTGACCCTGGGCAAGTCATTTCACCTCTGTCAGCTCAGTTTCTTCATCTATAAACTGGAGAAAATAATAGCATTTACCTCCCAGGGTTATTGTGAGGGCCAAATGAGATAATATTTGCAAAGCACTCAACTCAATGTCTGGTACATAGTAGGCACTATATAAATACTAGCTCTTATTTCCTGATTCCTCCAACTAGTGACCTCCCTAAACTACCTGGGACTTAACTACTTTGTATATATTTGTGTTTATTCCCTTTATATTCATATTTGTACTCGTCTTTCTCATTAGAATGAAAGTTCCTTGTGAGTAAGGATTATTTCATTCCTTTACTTATATTCCAAAATCTAGCACGATCTGGCACATAATTGGCACCTAATGAATACTTGTTGGTTGAGTAATTGATTCTTACAGGGGTTACATCAGGATGAAGGTGCTCCCAGTAGAAGTCAGGCTGCCAAAAGAAGGCTGATGCCGGTGGGGTGGGGGATGGGGGCAATAGAGAAGTTGATTAAGGGGACTGGGGGTGGATAGAGTGGGACACGTGTGCTGCAATAAGGGTCATATCAGGAGGAAGGTTGGAGGATGGAATGCATGCAAGGAGTAAGGATGAGTGGAGGCAGTTGACTTTGGATAAGTCAATCTCTCTGGGCTTCATTTTTTTCCAAGCAAGCTTATTGGACTAGATGATATTTAAGATACTGTATTTGTAGAGCCTATGGTTTACGCATTCTTTGGGTTCTTGCCATGTTGTAGTCTACTCTCTGATTCTATACTTTCTCCCCAATCTGCATTGCTGCAGTTTTCAGGGAACCCTACACCGTCCGGGTGGAGGATCAAAGGTCAATGCGTGGAAACGTGGCTGTCTTCAAGTGCCTCATCCCCTCTTCAGTGCAGGAATATGTTAGCGTTGTGTCCTGGGAGAAAGACACAGTCTCCATCATCCCAGGTAAGAGAGGAACAGAGGACCATGGAGGAGTAGGGTTGAGGGTGGTGATGATGGAGGGTAAGTGATTGGTTATTCATGGGTGATTGAGCTGGTTGGTGCCTGGAAAGAGGTCTTGTTTGTTCAGTCTTTGTGAGTGATTTGGTGATGGTTTGATGATATTTTGGTGAAGTTTATCCTGAAGTGGTCTTTGCCTTTGTTTGGTGAACTCTCTATACATGGTAATTGACTTGGCAAGAACTCTTGCCAAGCAAGAAAAATGAATGACTGGTCCCTTCATTGGAGTCTAGGGACAAAGCCAGCAAGATGGAGGGTAGACCTTGCTACCCTATGGAGCCAGGGTGCTGTCCTCCTCTGCTATTGGAGTCATTTAGGATCATGGCTTTTGGGGTAGAGTCTTGGGTATGTGATTGTTTTCTGAGTGTGGGAGAAAATGCTTACAGTGGGAAAGTTTGTGGTATGAGATAGTGGTGACCAGGGGCCTAGGGCCATGTATTGGATGTTGAGTATTAGAATGTGTCCTAAAGGTGTGCGCATACATAGATAATGCTTTCTGTCTTTAATGATTGGCCAGAGACCTCCTTATAATTTCAGTGCTTTTATTGTCAAGATACTCATGTGCATGGATAACATGTATGTGTCAGCCTTCCCATGATATAGTGGCATGGATCCAGGTCAGCACATGGATAAAGTAATTTGACCTGAAGCAGAATATGTGTATGTAGTCGGGTTTTTAGGAAGCCAACAAGGAGAGACAGGTACCAATATCCATGTGGTGGGTGACCTAGGTTTCTTTGTTGTCAATCTTACAATGCTTTTAGCTTAACACAGGAAAAAACCCCCAACACTTCTGCCATGGGCTCCATTTTCTTTCTCTGTACCAGATGTGTTCCTCTTCCTTGGCATGTTTCCAGGGGCTTGGCTGGATGTTTTCTTATTTTACTCCGGAGACTAAGGTCGAAATGACCCTACTTGGGGTTCTAGGCAACTGTTTCAAATCTCAGGCCTGATTTACTGAGATACTGTGGGGAGGAAGGTGTGACTGTATTGGTGTTCTATTTTATCATTCATTTATTTATTTTTGTATTTGATTTTTCCCCAGTTACATGTAAAAACAATTTTAACATTCATTTTTAAAAACCTTGAGTTCCAAATTCTCTGCCTTCCTTTCTCTCCACCCCCCTCATTGAGAAGGCAAGCAATTCAATATAGGTTATACATGTGTAGTCATGCAAAACATATCCATAATAGTCATGTTGTAAAAGAAAACACGGACAAAAAAACCCTTAAGAAAAATAAGAAAGTTTAAAAAAAGTTATATTTCAATTTGTATTCAGACACCATCAGTTATTTCTCTGGGGATGGATGGTATTTTTCATCATAAGTCCTTCAGAGTTGTCTTGGATCATTGTATTGTTGATAATAGCTAAGTCATTCACAGCTGAACATCTTACAATATGGCCGTTACTTTGTACACAGTACATTTCACTTTGCATCAGCTCGTGTAAGTCTTTCCAGGTTTTTCTGAGCGCATCCTGCTCATCATTTCTTATATCACAATAGTATTCCATCACAATCACATACTGCAATTTGTTCAGCCATTCCCTAATTGATAAACATCTTATCAATTTCCAATTCTTTGCCACCAGAAAAGAACTGCTATAAAAATTTTTATACATATAGGTCCTTTTCCTTTTTGTTCTTTTTATCTCTTTTGGGTTACAGACCTAGTAGTGTTATTGCCAGGTCAAAGGGTATGCATGGTTTTATAGCCCTTTGGGCATAGTTCCAAATAAGCAGTTCCATTTTATAGACTGGTAGAATGAGGCACAGAGGGATGAAGTGACTTTTTTCAAAATCACACAGATAGTAAACAGAAGAGTTGGGTTTTGAACCTAGGTCTTCTGACCCTAAACCAATGTTCTTGCCACGATACCAGATTTCTTCATGCCTTTTCCCAATTAACCTAACCATCCTTTGAACTCCTTCATAGGAAGGTGTGTAAAATAGCTCTAGTAAATGTTCACCAGCCCTCTGACAATAAATTAATCAAGCAGATATTTGAATGGCCCATAAAGCAGCAGCTTGGTAAAGTGACTAGAGAGCTGGCCTCAAAGCCAAGAAGACCTGGGACCAAGTCCTGCCTGGACACTAACTGACTATGTGACCCTGGGCAAATCACTTATCCTCTCAGTGCTCTAGGCCACCAAGACTATAAATTTCAGAGGAGGTTCAGATATGCATAGAAGAGGAAGTTTTCTCATCTGGGAGTTCCCTATACTAATGAAATCCAGTGTCTGTCCCTTGAATAGCTCCTAGATGTTGGTAGTCACCAAATCAGTGTTTGGATGCATTGAGGCTTGCATGTGTTTGAGTTTTGAAGGCTGTGAGATGGGCTTATCTGCCAAAAGATTTCTGAAGGCACTGAATGCCAGGAAAAAGATTTTGAACTTTATTCAGTAGGCGAGAAGGAACCAGTAAAGCAAACAGATAACCTAACTAGATATTGTTACTGTTCAGTCATTTCAGTCATGTCTGACTCTTCATCACCCCATTTGGGGTTTTCTTGGCAGAGATACTGGAATGCTTTGCCATTTCCTTCTCTAGCTCATTTTACAGATGAGGAAATTGAGGCAAACAGGATAAAGTGAGTTGCTCAGGGTCACACCAGCTGGTAAGTGTCTGTGGCCAGATTTGAACTCAGGAGAGGGAGTTTTCCTGACTCCAGGCCCAACACTGTATCCACCATGCCAACTAGCTGCCCTTTGAGTAAAATTAATTTGACATCTGTTTGAAGGGTGGATTAAAAGGAAGATAGGTGAGATGGGAAGACCTATTGGTAGGTTATTCCAATGCTCCTGGCCAAAGAAACGAAGGTCTTTTCTAGATTATTATCAGTAGGAATAGGGAATACAAAGAAGGTACAAGGTGGAGGGGGTGGGATAGATGCAAAGCATTGTTGCAGAAGCAGTTACCAAATCAGGATCCACTAACGATTGATTGGCTATGAAAGGAAAAGAGAGGGAAGGGTCAAAAGGAACTGCATGGCTTCTGGTGGAGAATGAATAGCTCAAGCAGAAGCACCGAGGCTAGAACAGCATGATGTATGTGCAGGATAAGAGGGAGAAAAACCTGACCCATGCAAAGACCATGTGTTAGGAGGGATTGAGAGCAGAGGCTGGATATGTAGAAGAGATCTAAGTGAGGGACAACCTTGAATGCCACAATAGGCAATGGGAAGCCTGAGTTGAGCTGATTCTGCCTCTGAAACATTTCTTGTATCTATCCCCTCCTTTTCATTCCCACTGTCATCGCCCTGGTTCAGGCCCTCATTACCTCTAGCCTGGACTACAGTAATAGCCTCTTAACCGTTCAGTGTTTTCCCTACCTCCATTCCACCCTACACATGTCTGCCAGATTAATTTTCCTCCAGCACAGATCTGTTCAAATCACGTTCCCTTGTTTTCCCCAAATCCCCTATTAAAGCAACAACAATAAATACAAACAAAAAAAAAAGCAAAAAACACTAAACCAGCTTCTGTGTTTCCCATGGTTTACAAGATAGCAATGCCTTGGCTTGTGATTCAAGGGCCTCCACAGCTGGATTCCATCCTGCTTTTCCAACTAGTCTCTGTTTACCTAAACTCCGCTTTACCTAAATTTTGTTCTTCCCTATCTCCATCCTTTTGTTTATGCTCCATGCCATCCCCGACGCCTGGCTGCTCTCCCTCCTGCACACACCCATCTTTGCCTGTTGAAATACTTCCTAATCTTTAATTAAGGCCCATCCCAGGTGGCACCTCCTCCAGTAAGCCTCTTTTCATCCTCCAGCAGAAAGTAATCTCATGCTTTCTGCAAGCTCATGCAAGGAGGCAAGGAAGGATTGATTTATTCATGGCCTCCCATGTGCCAGGCACTGTGCTAAGCATTTTAAAGATACCTCGTTTGATCCTCACAACAACCTTGGGAAGTAGGTGCTTTTATTATTCCCATTTTACAGTTGAGGAAATTGAGGCAAACAGAGGTTAAGTGACTTGCCCAAGGTTGCACAATTAGTAAGTGTCTGAGGCCAGATATGAACTCAGGTCTTCCTGTCTCCATACACTGTGCCACCTAGCTGCCTCTGTAGATTTAACCTATTTCAATTTTTATCACAGATACGTGCGTACTTGCTTTCTCTGCCCTGCAAGAGTCTAATCTCTTTGAGGGCAAGATTGTGTCTTATTTATCTTGTATTTACCCTAGTATCTAGCACTATTTGGTGTATATGGTTATTATCACTACTACTACTATTATTAAATGTTTAATAAATGCTTATTAGATTTTTGAGTCAGTCAAAATGATGCATTAGTGCACATTGGTGTGTGGGAAACAATGCATGGGAGTGAGTTTGAGGGTGTGGACCTGTCTTTTAGACTTGTCTTCCAAAAGATGTAGCCCTGAGCCTTTGTTAGATCCTATAGGCCATAATTATCACTAATCTGTGTAGCCTGTGGTTTCCTCAAAACCTGCTTAAATTTCTTTCCAGCCTTGGGCCTATATACTCAATCACAATATGCATAACTGTTTTAAATCTCTGTGTTAAAAAGAATACTTTGAGTTTTTAAGGATGGGGCTCCTCTACCTCTCCCAGGCCTTGTCCCCTTACCCTCAGCCCAAAGTGCCTCCAGGAGTCTGACCCTTCTCTGTCTTTTCAGTTTGATGGCTCCTCTCCCCAAGATCATGAAAGCTAACAAGTCCTGGAGGACCACAACTAAAATAGTCCCATGAGCTACAAAAGGAGTAGAGATTCCTTCCCCTCCCATGAGGATGAGAGGCCAACATTCAGCCCAAATGCCATACTATTTAATATTTAGGAAGCACACTGTTTATGGATTTATTTTTTAATAGGATTTTGTACAGGTCGCACAATGCACATGTGCAGGGTGTGAGGGTAGTAATGAAATACGTGCGTCCTCTTGCACTGTTGGGGAAACAGATCCTCTTGATGAGGGTTGTCCTCG